AAAGAGCCTCAGGTGCAGATGGAGCATGTGAAAAATGCAAACATACCTTTGCATTGTGGAGAACTGGCCCAGTGCTGGAGCTCACAGGGACTTGGAACTCTCCTACATTAAAAACAGAACAAAAAAGGCAAGGTTAAGCAATGCTGCATCTTTGCCTCTTCCTCCTCTCTATTCTATAACTCTTTCCAAAAGAACTGACCATCCACTCAGTCAGGGACACTAAGAACAGAAGAAACACCAGCCAGTCTGATCTTTGTGCCCCAGGAATGCGGCCCTGGAGCTGCAGCTGGTCACACACCTCCGCCAGCAAGGCCCCTGGGTTTGACTTGAAGATACAAAAAGGTAGAGAATCTCCCTCTTCTTCTAAAAGTGTGTTCCAGGGACTTGTAATTGCTGCTTTAAACCTCTGTGCTTCATTTCAAATTAAAATACAACTGGTTTGTGCTCCCAGGCACTGGCTCTTCTAGGATTTTTCTTCTCTTCACTAAAAAGCCAATTCCTCCTTTTGAAAGTCCTGACACGCCTAATCAGCCCCTCTTGATTCCTGTCTGTGATTCTAAACACACTATGCTGTTCGAGTCTTTCAACTCAAGTACTTTCCTGCCAGACTTGATTAATTTTATGACTTTTTGCCACTATTCCTGCATTTTCAACATTGTTATTGAAGTGCAGACCCTCTCACTAGTGGCACAGGGAGGCTGACACTGTCTCCTCACTCGAATCCCTAACTGCCTGGTTTGCACGTGTCACAGCTGTGCTCCAACCCCCACTGCTCAGGGTGCCCAGGGCATCACACCAAGACCTCATGCTGAGGTGTTTTCCTCCCTAGCTCCTTTTCCAGGCGAGTTTTTTCCAGGGCACAGCTCTGCTTCTGCAAGGGGATGAGCAGACATGCTGTCTGGCTGCATGGGATGCAGACTCAGGTTATCCCCCCACTCTGCCCCCCCAACTCAGCTCTGCTGCTACCACCACGTGTTCAGCCACTCTCTGACCACTTTCAATCAGAGCTATCTACCAGAGACATCTCCAGGCAAGGCTAAGCCACCTTGCTCAGCACAGCATTCTGCTGGCAGTGATTACACAGGCACTTACACCAGCCACTGACCTCCACAAAGACGACACACAGGCCAGGGCTGCCTGAGGCCAAGTATTTTTAACCTGGATCACCACAAGCAGCAGGATCCCACTGGGAATTGAACACCAGGTCCTGAAGCCCGGATCACTTTGAGCCAGAGCTGCTCACACAAGCAGTAGCTGTGCCCTCTCCATGTCCCCCTGTCCCCCTTCAAGCTGTGTAGCTGCAGAACACGAGCCAGCACAAGCAGAAAGAAATCAGTCCTTTTGGTTCCTTCAAGTCCTTTGACTCCAAGGAATCAGAGGGCTTGATTCCTTGATTCTGGGCATTATTACATTACAGGCACTCGTGCCAGCACAGCAGCAGCAATGAGGTGTGCAACAGGCAGGATTGCTTCTCACACTGTGTTACAATGCACAGGGAGCTGTGGCCTGTGTGCCAGCTGCAACCTCATTATTCCCAGACAAACAATTCCCCTCTGGCTGTATTCAAATGTATTTTATCTGCACAAGCCCCACTCACCCAACAAGCAAGATTGCTATGGCAAATGTGATTTCTATGCATCATTCCACCAAAAGTAGTATAATCTGGGAATTTACTGCTTGTGCTTCACATTTCTTTTCAGATCAGGCATCAAACGAGCTGATCTTTCTCTAGCTCTTGGTCAGGTATCTCCCTCGTGATGTAATTTGGGGTTTTGCCACACAAACAACTGCAAATCCTATGGAAAAAAATTGTCTGTATTAAGGATTTTCCCACTCCTTGTTTAAACAACACAAGTACATCCATGCTTTCAACGAACTGTGCATTTTGCTCAGATGTTCACTCCTAAATCAGAGATTTGTCATGCGCTGGGAAGACCTGCTGTGATTTGGACAAACCATTAAACCATGAACAATAAACAGACACTAATTGTGACTCCTGTCAGCCTGCAGAAGCACCTTGTGCCCCTCTGCCACTGCAAATGCCTCCTCACTCAAATCCTACTGATCTCCCTGACTCAGGGTTACATCTCCCAGAGAGCATTTTGAAGAAAACACAGGGAAAAAAAGATCCGGACAGCCAGCCCCATCTCCTGAAGGATCAGAGAATCCCAGACTGGTCTGGGCTGGAAGGACCTGAAAGATCATCCAGTCCCATCCCCTGCCATGGGCAGGGACACCTTCCACTAGCCCAGGTTGCTCCAAACCCTGTCCAACCTGGCCTGGAACACTTCCAGGCATGGGGCAGCCACAGCTTTTGTAGGCAACCTGTGCCAGTGTCTGACTTCCCTCAGAACTCACCTTTAAGGCTGGGAAATCTCACATCAAAACTCCTCAAAAACACTCCCCAGCAGCAAAGAATCCCAGCACAGTCCAGCAAAGTGACACAACCAGCTTAAATTCATAGTGTCATAGATTGTTAACGGCTTGGAATGGAGCTTAGAGACCATCCAGCCCCAGCCCCCTGCCCTGGGCAGGGACACCTCCCACCAGAACAGGTTGCTCAAGGCTTTAGCCAACCTGGCTGTGAACACCTCTTTCAATTTCTCCCTGTTCCTCCTTGTCCTGTCCCTGAAGTTCCTAACCAAGAGTCCCTCTGCAGCTTCCCTGGAGCCCCTTCAGCTCCTGGCAGGTTGCTCTGAGGTCTCCACACAACCTTCTCTTCTCCAGGCTGAGCAGCCCCAACTTTCTCAGCCTGTCTCTAGCAGAACTTCCAAGGAACTAGGCTCTGAGCAAATTCATTGCTCTAGTGCACACACAGAACCATGTTAAACTATTCTCTGTATGTTCCAAAGCTGGGAATACCACAGTTGGAATTCTCTGTGCAGCTTTATTGCTACTTCTTCCAACATATGCTCTGATGGAACATGACTACACATCCTTCTTCCCACGCCATCTTGCAGCTCTCAGTGTTCTGGATGCCCATATTCAGCAGTTAATAAATATTTTGTCTTTCCCCACTGTTTCACCCTGGACTAATGGAATGTTGCTCACAGCTAGCTCCAAATGAGGAGTTAATAACCTTCTCATAGTCAGTGTGGATTGCTCATCCCAAAACATCCAAAAGCTTCACGAGAATAAAGTCACAACAAGACCTGGACAACATCCAGGAATTCTGCCTCATGGAAAATTTCAGTGTTTCCAATTGGTTTCATTGTGCTTTGAAATGAAAACACACTTCTGCAGTGTCTGTAAGCTCAGAATTGAAATAA